GTTTATATTGACTATGGTATTAAATTAGGAACTGTCTTACTGTATTACAGGCAGTCCTCAGCTTACGACAGATCATTTAGTGACTGTTCGAAGTTGCAACGGCACTGAAAAAAAAGTGATTTATGACCATTTTTCACACTTACGACCTTTGCAGCATCCCCACGGTCATGTAATCAAAATTCAGAAGCTTGGCCACTGACTCACATTTATGACGGTCGCAGTGTCCCGGGGGGGGATCACGTGATCCCCTTTTGCGACCTTCTGACAAGCAAAGTCAATGGGGGAAGCCAGACTCACTTAACGACCGGGTTACTAACTTAACAAATGCGGCGATTCACTTAATAACTGTGGCAAGGAAGTTAGTTAAAACAGGGCCAAAACTCGCTGAACTAATGTTTCATTCAGCAACAAAAAATGTTGGGCTCAAATCTGGTCGTTAAGGCGAGGACTAGCTGCATTTCATTACGATACCGGCTAGTATTGTTTAGATTAGATTGATTTCCTGGTACTGCGCTTCGTCGTTAAGGGCGTACTAAAGAAATCTACAGTGCAGTACACATTGAATAATGTGGTTTCAAAATACGTTTTAAAGAATCATGGAGTTTGCGGGTCATTTCACGCTGTGTTCCAGCCTTAATCCATCAAGGTCTGCCTTAATGGACTGCAGTGGATACTGGCCTTCCTCAGTTCTGCCAGCTGAAATTGTTTGGCTGGAGAATTCAGGGACTAGCTTGAATCTTTTGCAATAAAAATAAAAATAAACTCTGCCACTAAGCTATGGGCCTTCCCTGAAACGGTTTTATCTTTCCAATCTTGTTCCTCCATCAAAAAGCTGCTGCTTCCTCATTTTTCTTTTGAATTCTTTGTTCTCCGCGCGTTACTCTCTCTCTCTCTCTCTCTCTCTCTCCTGTTTCTGCCCTTTATTAGCCCGTTAGTTTTTATGTGATTTGTAAAACTCTTATCAAAACTTTATATAAAAAAAGGAATCGTTACAGACAGAATCTGTAGAGACAGAATATTCCTTCAAAGAACTCGATTGTTCTTTTGGTAACGATCCAGCAACGAACCCGGATGGTTCAGAGCTAACAAAACCTCATTATATATGCAGGCAAGTGAGTTTTTGTATTCTTATTTCTCCCACATCTCATCATTAGACCCTTCTTGTGTTCAGCAGTGAAATTTGATATATCCAACAAGCAGGTATCCTGCTGAAAGGAAGCGACCTAGCTTTAAATTACGAGAAGGCCAAAGGATCTCTCTGCCTGCTCTCTGTTCCCATAAAAGCTACGCACCCGTCTGTCTTATTTTGTCCCTCCAGGACAACACAGGGTTGCCCCAGGGACCTCCACTTTAAATTTCGCTGTGCTGTTTTATATTAATGTGGAATCTGATGTTACATTTGTTTTGTACTTTTTAATCGGCTTATGGCTGACGGAGTTGCATTTCCTGCCCAACTCCCGCTGTTAAAGAGGTCACTCTCAGCTTTAGCAAATATTTGATTTATTGGGTACTACAGCTGCATGGTGGCAAACGCTCTCCCTGAGTGGCACCCTTCAGGCAGACTGTATGGACCTTTCTCCTGGAACTTGGTAGCATATCTGGACGAAGGTAGAGCTTAAGGAAGCTTGTTATATTAAGAGTACGATAAGGCAGGGGTCCTCAAGCTTGGCAACTTTAAGACTTGTGGACTTCAACTCCCAGAATTCCTCAGCCAGCAAAGCTGGCTGAGGAATTCTGGGAGTTGAAGTCCACAAGTCTTAAAGTTGCCAAGCTTGAGGACCCCGCGGATAAGGAACGTGAGGAATGCCAGACTTGGCAACCAAAATGGCCTAGCTTTGCTGGCTGAGGAATTCTGGGAGTTGAAGTCCACAAGTCTTAAAGTTGCCAAGGTTGAGGACCCCGCAGATAAGGAACGTGAGGAATGCCAGACCTGGCTACTAAAATGGCCTAGCTTTGCTGGCTGAGGGATTCTGGGAGTTGAAGTCCACAAGTTGCCACAGTTGAGGACCCCGCGGATAAGGAACGTGAGGAATGCCAGACCTGGCTACCAAAATGGCCTAGCTTTGCTGGCTGAGGGATTCTGGGAGTTGAAGTCCACAAGTCTTAAAAGTTGCCAAGGTTGAGGACCCCGCGGATAAGGAACGTGAGGAATGCCAGACCTGGCTACCAAAATGGCCTAGAGCCCTGGTCCAAAGATCTCCTGCCCGCTTGGGTACGTTTGTACTTTGTTCTCGGTCTCTGCTAAATGACAAGACGGGTCTTTCAGGCATCTTCTGCTTTCAGATAGGAACAGCCAGGGAGGATTGGGAGGGCAATGGAAAGGTCAACTTTTGCCTGTTGTTATAGCCATGCTGGGGGGAAAGCAAAAGAAATTCAAACGCCCGATGCCGGCAAATTAATTATCCGGGACTTTCCGTTCTTAATTCAGAGCAGGCCTTTTATTTCCTTTCTGTGCAAATTGCTGAAGGAAGGTATGCACCTCCCATTTAGGTAGGACGTATCAACAAAGCTCACATTGTAGCATAAATCTCATAAAGGGGAACTATTGTCCTTCAAGATAAACAACAATAAAGGTTCCACCTGAGAGTAGCAACACACAATACACGTAATATATTTTCAGGAAAGCACCTTTTATCATATAGAAATGAATTGTGCATTAAAGACTTCCTAGGTATACCCAGCCCCCACAAACACATCTGGCCCCATTTGCTGCAGAGTAGTAGATGCTTCTCCTGTAGGGGCTTTGGTGCTCTTTGAACTGCGCACTGATGATGTTACCTAGTTGGGTTATGAAATGTCTGCAAGAAAACAACCAATCTCAGACAGCACCAAGGACCCCACAGTCTTCCTCCTCTCCACAAACTCCACTCCCTTCTAGCACGGATGATGTTCCCTAGTTGGGTCAGGAAATTCTGTAAAAAAACCACCAACTCAGAGAGCACCAAGGACCTCACAATTTCACCCTTTTTCCTTTTAAAGCAGGGGTAGTCAACCTTGGCTCTTTTATGACTCGTGGACTTCAATTCCCAGAATTCTTGAGCCAGCTAAGCTGGCTCAGGAATTCTGGGAGTTGAAGTCCACGAGTCATAAAAGAGCCAAGGTTGACTACCCCTGTTTTAAAGCATTAAAGCCTTGGTTGTGGCTAAAGCTTTCTTACAAAATTCACCTACTGAAACCGAAGTAAATGGCATTGGAGAGCCAGGGAGAAAGTTATAACCACATTTCACTGAAAATACATTAAAATATATGAAGTAGGCCAAGCCAAGACAATAGCACGGTGCACATACCTGAAGAAGTCCACTAAGTTCATCTCCAGATAAACAGATATACCGTCACAGCCTTCGGAATGCTCCCCCCCCCCCCCAAATTAACAGGAATCTCAAAATCAATTTATTTTTTACCTTGCTCGTTAAAAAATATCTTTAATTTTGTTTTTTTTGTTTTTCACAGAGTGGAGCCGTATATAAAATCAGACCAAGTTACGTCTTAAAAACCTTTTAATGGGTTCCGTTCTATTCCAGGCAAAAAATAAAATAAGATCATTTCTAAAAACAGTGGAGGATGAGGCATAGATCAGTAGCCATACATTTTAACGTTATGGACTTCTTTGTCCTCGCATTCTCTTTCCTTATCGTAATAGTAGAAAGTATTGTCCTTCCTCTGAAGCTTCTTCACAAATCCGGTTTCTGGCCACCTTTCCACCTGCATGCAAACGAGAAGAAGGGAAGTGCCTGTGGGTTCTTAGGAATGGCTGAGCTTACCTACGGATCCTGCTAGTCGCAGGGGTAGGCAAACTTTATTATTATTTTATGACTCGTGGACTTCAACTCCCAGAATTCCTGAGCCAGCATGGCTCAGCTTGGAAACCTCTACCTTTCCCCTCAGCATGGCTGGCTCAGGAATTCTGGGAGTTGAAGTCCACGAGTCATAAAATAATAATAAAGTTTTATTAGTCCACGAGTCATAAAAGAGCCAAGATTGCCTACCCCTGTGCTAGTGAAATCTGAATACAGGTGGTCCTCGACTTACAAGTGTTCATTTAGTGACCGTTCAGTTACAACAGCAATGAAAAAAGTGACTTATGGCCATTTTTCAACCGCCTTTGCAGCCTCCCCCGGGGCCACGTGATCAAAATTCAGACGCTTGGCAACTGGTTCATATTTATGACGGTTGTGGTGTCTCCCGGGGTCACCTGATCCCCTTTTGCGACCTTCGGACAAGCAAAGTCAATGGGGCAAGCCCGATTCACTTAGCAACCGATCAACCGCAGTGATTCGCTTAACAACGTTGGCAAGAAAAATCGTCAAATGGGGCAAAGCTCACTTTAACCAAGGTCTCACTTACCAGTAGAAATTTTATTTTATTAGGTATTATGCCAGAAAAGATGGATAAACAAAGTACATATTTGATTTTACATGGGATAAACAGCGGCAAAAAATCCTATTTGCCACAATATTGGAAAAAGGGAGGATTGCCATCAGAGGAAGAAATAATTAAAAAAATATTAGAATGGGCAGAAATGGACAGATTTGCTATGTTGTTGAAAGAAAAAGAAGAAACAGAATACTGTCAGACTTGGGACTTGTTCTATCAATGGCTGGAGAAAAGAATAAAAGATTAGGAATTAAATTTGTATTGGTGAATGATAAACTCAGACAACATGTTGTTGAAGAAGTACAGAAAAAATTAATAAAAAATTTACAAAAAAAACAAATAGGAATTTTGAGCTCAATTGTGGTCGTAAATTGAGGACTGCCTGTATGTGACCAAAAAAAAAGGACTATATATTTTACACCGTAGAGAAATACGTATATGGGAGAAGGAGACCAAGCATGCTGAGCATAGGATCCCAAACCTGATCCAAAGTTGACAACGCAGATAGAAGAAATTCAGGATTTCACATTCTCTCCCAAGAGTTGGTTAGCAGAGTATCCCAACTAATTTTATTGATATGGAATTCTGTGACTTTTCATTCTGTTCAACTGGGAACATTTTGAATTTTTGGGCTCAGTTGATTTAAAGCTGGCTTTCAGCATGAATTCTTCTATCCCTTTATTCTTGGAAAGATTCAACCGAGGCTTAAGTTTCTTCTGTTGCGCATATGTTATAGCCTTAATCGGTAACTTCCAGTCAGAAGTCTTGACCAAAAGTCTCAGTAAGAGATACTTTTAAGGCTTTTCATTAGTAAATATGAGTGTTTTCCATGTTCTCAAAATTCACTCTTATCAGGGAGAAAGAATTAGTCACAACGTTTTGAGGAGTCTATCAAATTTACCACCATTGCAGATTTAGTTGAAGGCAAGAACACAAATTAACGGACATTTTCAATGCGATTGAGAAGAGAGGGGGGAAAGTTTTTTAGAGTAAGCAAAAAAAAAAAAGGACCAACTCAGTCCTTTTATGCAGCATTAAGTGACTCCACTAATTTGGAAAAGGGGAGCAGAGGGGAGAGCTGTTTTCAGAATGAAATGACCGTCAGGGTTGAATCTACGTAGGTTTTCTGAAGATTAGGAGGAAAAAATATTTTCATTGCACAGTCTGAACAAAGTAACACAAATATAATCTCGGTGGCCTGTGGGCCAGCATCAAAATATCATCAAAATTGTCTCTTTGTAGGGGACTGGCACGGGTCCCTTCTGGAAGGCATCTCTGCCAGCAATTTCTTGGCTCAAAGTCACGTTGTGCTGTGTGTTGCCAGAGCACACAGGAGATGCAGCTGTAATCCATAAATGCTCCTTTTTGTTATGTATGCAAGTCCTATTGATTAGACAAGGATGGCATAGCCTTCCATTTGTTCTGTCCATAAATGTGTTATTCAGTATTCTTTAAAAAGGCAAGAAAATCTATTTCTCACGGATCCTTTATCCTATATCCTTTATGCCAGGGGTGTCAAACTCAATTTCACTGACGGCTGCATCAGCATTGCGGTTGCCCTCGAGGGTGTGTGTGGCCAGGGTGGGTGTGGCCTACTGGGTAGGCGTGGATGGAGTGGGTGTTGGGCATGGCCATCTCTACATCGTTCACGTCAAGGGTGCCTGTGGGGGCCTGGGCAGGAGTGGGACAGATCTGAGGGTCTCTGGCAGGAGGAGGTGGGACCGGGGCAAGCGCCAAGGCATGCTCCATTTTTTCATTCCTCACAAAGGGGGACACCTCCCCAGCATGCACCCAGGGGCGGGGTCGACACGGCAGGGGCTGGTTCCTCGCTGTTTCTGGACGGCCTTGTGGAGCTAAGACTGAATGCGTTTCAGCATAGATGGCCACCACAAAATAGTACATTGGCTCCCAGCCGGCCTGGGCCAGGGCCAAGGCAATGGGAGCCGTTCCCTCACTGTTTCCAGGATGGCTTCGCGGGCCACATGAAACCACTTCGCGGGCCGCATCCGGCCCCCGGGCCTTGTGTTTGACATGTCTGCTTTATGCCCTTATCAGGATAGCTGAACCAATGACTTGTTCCAAGGTTTAGGCCTAATTTAGTGGGATTCATGGTTTCTTTGACCGGCTGATGGCCGCGCAACTCTGCCTGCCCACAATACCATATCACCAGGTGCTCCGGAGAGTTGAGAGAGATTAAAAAAAGAAAAGAAAAGCAGACTTGTTATGAGATAGGTAGGTGGCTGGCTGGGTTTCAGAAGCTCCTCTCCAATAGAGAGGCATTCTGAATTAGCTCTCTGGATGCCAGCCAAAGACTGTTATGTGCCATGCACTTTTTTTTTTTTTAACCCAAGATTAAAAAACAATTTGGGTGGTCAGATGGATGCCTGCAGCCTGAAAATATTTTCTGCCCCTCCCTCCCTCCTTCCCCCTCCATATATTGCAGTGTGCTTAGGAAGTGCTTCTCCTAAAATCTCCAGCCACACCATGGCCTATTTTCCCCAATTTCAACATTTTTCGATCCCTCGCTGATGAGTGTTTCTACATAATGGAAATCCCATTTTCCACTCCCACAAAATCCCTACTCTGGAGATTGGGGAGCTAACACCTCTCCCCCTTTGCTTCTCTCCTTAGAGACAGAAGGCAAAGAATAAACAGAGAAGAGCTCTTTTGAAGCCAGCACTGCAGGCCCATGAAGTAACCATGGAGTTAAGACAGGGTCTAGAGACTCGAGAGAGAAATGGCCAGGAATAAAAATCAGCTGAACTCTGTTTATTGTCTCCAAGTGGAAATAAATAACTTCTCACATAGTCATGCACATGAAAGTAACTTAAATATTATTTTCTGGACCTAATCAAAAATTTAAAGCCCTAAATAGCTTGGATTCCAACTGGACCCATGATGGAACCAGCAGAAAAGCATTTGCCATGAGCAAATAAACTGGCTGCAGGGCCATCTAATTCAATAGGAATGCAACTGGACACTAAGACTAACAAAACACTCTTTCTAAAGTCTGTTTTTGACCACACATGAAAAGTACCTTGTGCCGTTCCCAAGCCTATTAAATGCCCTTAGCCTGTTTTCTGATTTTGGTTGACGAATCACAATCTTTTGTGTTTCACCAACTCTTTTCAGAGTTCACCAAGAGTGATTTTAACAGTCTTTATTCAGATTTTGCCTTCTTAGCCACCTCAAAAAACCTCTAAGGTAAAAGATATCGTGTAAATTAAATAAATGGCCATCACTCCTTCTGGTGATTGATAGGAAAAAGGAAAATGTACTAGGTAACATAACGCCTAATATATGTTGCATTAGTTTTCTATTGCTTATCAGGCACTAATTCAGCTACTATTATTATTATTATTAGCAAAATACCCTGGGAGAGGAAAGGGAAGCAAATCACATTTTTAACATTTAAATTTTATTAGGTTCTACTAATCTAGATGAAACGTGTATGATATGCTATATGTTAGTTAAATAAATAAATAAATAAACAAGCAAGCAAGCAAGCCCTGATCTCTACAACCAACCATGGTCAAGAGTCTGCCAGATTTCCAGAAGGGCAGCAGGACAATAACCAGAAAGAAAAAAGGGCTAAACATTTGTTTCCCAGCTCTTCCTTCCATTCCAAATGTAACATTCACTCTTAAAAGCAAAGTTAAAAGATAACCTGATTTAACTCCAATAACCAGACAGAATACAATCCTGTGTACATGTGAATGGTGTAGCATTTGTGAATTTGGATTAGTGTTTTTAAGTCAATTTTATAGTTTCTTCAATGAAAAAATCAAGGCAGCTTATTTATGTATACGCGCAAACATACATAACCATATAAACTAAAACAACATTAATTAAACACAAAGAACACACTGCAGGGCTGGTAAAAAATGCATGCACGATAGTAGCTCTTCAGTAAATGTTAAATACATATCCAGTCAAATGCGTTTTGGTGTATCTTGATGATATCCTGATATATAGCACGAACATGACTGATCACATAAAGCTGGTAAGAGAAGTGTTAAAGAAACTATTGAATGCCAAGCTTTATGCCAACCTGTCGAAATGTGAATTTCATCAAACCCAATTGGACTATCTTGGCTACAGAATTTCCAACGAGGGTATTGAAATGGACCCAGCCAAGGTGAAAGCCATAATTGAATGGCTGCCCCCAAAGACTTGAGAAGGATGTACTTGAAAGTTTCTCCACCCAGCCCACAACAGCTGGGTTGCAACAAAAATATACCAGGACCTGCAAGGCAACTGAAGGTCCCCCCCTTCCCTCTCCCTCTGGAAATCAGGGAAGGGTTCCAAAACGGGCAAATTCAGCCATTGGTATTTATAACCTATGTTTCATAGTTTGCTATGTTGCACAAACTCAGTTACTTGTGATTTATCTGTGAAACCCTCACTGAATGAATCTTCCAATGATGCTTTTTCCACCAACAGCCACGAATCACGCCAGGAGGCGAGACAAACGAAAAAGTACCACAAACCTAAGGAGATTATTGTACAGAATAGTAAGTTTTCATCTTGAAAATGTGCAATTCTTAAAGTCTTACCCCAGCAACATGCTTTACTTGCTTATATTCAATTTCATCTCTATAGCCAGCTTGCTGAAATCTGTATAGATTTTCCACTTCATCTGACCATGTTTTGGCTCGCTGTATGAACTTTGGCTTCAGGTCAATCCCGGCTGTTGCTCCAGAAACATCACCGGATAATTTGCTGAAAGTGCGTTTTTTTAAAAAATAAAATAAAAAAATAAAATAAAATGCAGTGCCATGCATAAAAAAAAAAGCAGAGGAAACGTCATCAAAATATTTAGGAAAAGACATTGCAGCTAAATGTATGGACATAATCGATTAAAGCCGTAACTTGTATTATAAACCATTTTGATACCACTCAAAAGACTTACCAATTGTTTTTGACAAAAAGCAGCTATAATTTTTGAAAAGCAGAGCTACTAACGAAAAAGGAGGGAATAAATAATCATGGCTTTAGGCCCAGATTTTCTCTCCTTTGGTTTTTTTTTCCCCAGCCTAAATATGTATATATTTAGAATATAAATCCTGATTTGTCCTTTTGCCTCCAAAAAGAAAGTAAGGCGGAAGAAAAGTTCTTCGCTTCCCAAGAAGCCATCTCGAGTATCCTCACGGCAAGATAGGCAGCAAATAGGTTTAACAAATAAATAATAAATACATCTGTAGATCACCATTTTGCCTTGTCCTGTATTTGGTTCTACCAGTAGTAGGCCAATTTAATTTGTGAACTGCTGCTTGATACCATGGAAAAATGTTCCTTCCTTCCTTCCTTCCTTCCTTCCTTCCTTCCTTCCTAATAATAATAATAATAATAATAATAATAATAATAATAATAATAATAATAATAATAATAATAATAAAGTTGGAAGGGACCTTGGAGGTCATCGAGTCCAACCACCTCAAGCAGGAAACCCTATACCATTTCGGACAAATGGCTGTCCAGTCTCTTCTTAAAAACTTCCAGTGTTGGAGCATTCACCACTTCTGGAGGCAGGTTGTTCCACTGGTTAATTGTTCTAACTGTCAGGAAGTTTCTCCTTAGTTCTATGTTGCTTCTCTCCTTGATTAGTTTCCATCTGTTGCTTCTTGTCCTGCCTTCAGGTGCTTTGGAGAATAGCTTGACTCCCTCTTCTTTGTGGCAGCCCCTGAGATATTGGAACACTGCTATCATGTCCTCCCTCGTCCTTCTCTTCCTTCCTTCCTTCTCTCCTTTCCCTCCCTTCCCCCCAACCTCTTGAGACAAGATAGATTACAATTCCTCAATCTATATGCTCAAATGAATAAAATCCTCAATCAACGGGACGTCACCCTGAAGACCCTGCATGATCGCCACTTACGTGTCTTCAGGGCTAACTGCTTCTCTACTGAAGGACGTACCAGGCTTATCTGTCATACGTGCTTCTCCAGAGGAGAAAGAAGCACAGGCTATATTCTTACTGTCCATAAACAAAGCTGAATTTTCCATAGGAGCTTCTGCAAAAAACAACAAGCGTGATATCAGGAATACAAAAACGCAGTCTAGCTAAAAAGGACTTTTAACATCTTCACGGTTAGGTCTAAATGCCATTTTTACAATTTGTTGTTTTTGTCATTTTGCTAAAGAAGATATGCATGGGCTTTGTGTATCAGTTGTGAATTGATACATACTGTAGTCTGCAGTTTTGATTTATCACGAAAATCAGGTAATCTGAAGTCATCTCTTAAGCTAATCAGAGGAGGCAAGTCATGTTTAGTTATCAAAATATTAATTTGGGAATGAGCTGGAGTAGAAAAAAAACAATCTGAAAAGTTTACAAATTTCTTAGCACGAGTGAAAATAAATGGCTCATATTTTAGTGAGAAAATCAAAGTATTAATTATATAACTATATGGGACAGGGTGCACCAAACTCAAGATAATTCTTCTCCCCTGTCTCATAGCTGACAAAGTGAGAAAGAGCCTGTGGTCTAGAGGTTAATACATCTGCCTATCATGCAGACAGCCCAAGTTCGAATCTCGGAAGGGTATGTATGGTTGAAAAGAACTAAAAAGTTCAAAATGGCTATTCCAGTTCTCCCTTAATTCTTTGTTAGCAATCCAAATTTTGAAAAACACACACACACACAAACACACATATATATATATGATTATATATATATATATGATTAAAAATAACACTAAAAACGGACGAGTTATATATATACGCCGATATATATATACGCCAAGACCTGCATACCTGTACCCGTGAAAATCTACGAAATATATATATATATATATATACACACACACACACACACATATACATCTATCTTCTATCTATATCTATAAATAAAAATGTAAATGTTCGTTTGTTCAGAATCTTAAATCTCGGAAAGTTCTTCACCGATTGCTTTGAAATTTCGACACAACGTTGCATTCGAATACGCGCGTGTTTTTATGTACCTATATTATATAGATGTCACACCTGTGACAGGTAAAAACATGCTTTTTTTGAAAAACAGCGCCATCTGTTGGACGTAAAAGCAACACACGCTTTTACCAGACTGAGCCACAGCAACGCGTGGCTGGGTACAGCTAGTATACATATATATATACACATACACACACATATATATAAATTATACTGGTATAATATATATTATATAATACTATTATTACTATCTTATAGTAATTATTAGATTACTATTTTATTTATTTACTAGTTACTTTTTATTTACTAGTTTATTTACTAGTTACTTTTTGGTATCCTGAATGGCAAATGACCTGCCATCTTCAAGTTGCCAGTTTTTGATTGGGAATTCAAAACATATTTCTATGTATTTATAGAATCTATATGTTTATAGACTCTGTATTTGAATTTCTGAGCCAACTGTGGGCCACGCACAGCAAAAGGGGCAGCCCTCCTAACATGCTCACCGTTTACCCCTCAAAAGCCCCCAAAAAGTTTGATCTCGCGGGTCGCTTCGCTCCTTTTTCCCACCAACGTGTGAACAAACTGTCCCCACACGTGCAGAGCGCCTATTCCCGCCGCACCAGCCCAAATATCGCGATACCCGTCCCTGGAGCAGAGTTGCCACCCGGAAAGGGGCGGGGCCTTTACACCAACCAATCAGAAAGGCTGTTTATTGAGGGAGAGAAAGTGAGGGGAGATGCTTATTCCCCTATTTCTCCATCCCCGACTTCCTCCCCTGGCCGGGCCTGCAGCGCTTCCCTCCTCGGAAGGGGAGCCAGCCTCGCCCCGCCGCCCCGGCCGGCCCTAAATTACCTTAGCAGAGCTTCTCCACGCACGCCGCGCACACGCCCCGCCCCCCCGCAGCGGTTACGCGGTTGCTTAGCAACCCCGGGGTACGGGCCAATCGGAGCTGCCGGCGAGGACAAGTCAAATTCTACCGAAAGGCGGGCTCTTCGTCTCTTTGGGCCAATCGGTGGATTCTAGGACCTAGGCTCGCCTAGAAGCTCGACCAAACAGGAGCAGCGTGATGGAATTCTGGGAACGGTAGTCCAAAACATGGACCGTGCCAGTTTCTTCATTGGTTTATCATTGTTACCAACGAGAGCTTCAGGTTAGACGCAGTGTTTCTCAACCTTGACAATTTTAAGGCATGTGGACTTCAACTCCCAGAATTCCACAGCCAGCAATGCTGGCTGTGGAATTCTGGGAGTTGAAGTCCACATGCCTTAAAATTGTCAAGGTTGAGAAACACTGGGTTAGAGAACCTCCATATAGAAATTGTTGCATGCAAGGAAAGACGAAGGAAGACACGTGTCTTGCACTTTGGACTGGGGCAGCCTTCTCTTTTTTTTGTTTTTCAGAGTAAATACGATTTAGTCAGAATAAAAGGAGAAAATATAGGGACAACCACGCTCCACACCACTAAATGATACCGCACTAGGACCCAGCCGCTCATAAATTCCCCTCCCCCGCCTCCAGCACGTGTGAGGCTTCTCTGCGGTTGGCTGAGGCGGCGCCCAATCACAGGGAAGCCTTTCCCCGGACGCATGCGTAAACGAGAACTCGGAAGGCGTGGCGCCCCGCTCTGGGCGGAGCCTCCTCGTCCCTTTAAGGAGAGTTCCCATTTGCGCATGCGTCCGGGGAGTCTTGCCTGTGATTGGCGCCGCCCCAGCCAATGAGAGGGCGGCGGGAAGAGCCTGGCGGAAGGGCCAAGCGGAAGAGCGGCTGACGGCAGTATGAGCACTTTCGGCGGGGTGATGCGCGAGTATCCGCACCTCTCCATCGACCGCTTCGACCGGGAGAACCTGCGCTCCCGCGCCTACTTCCTCTCCCACTGCCATAAGGGTGAGCGGGGGCCCCCGGTGGGAGAAGGGGCGAGAAAGGAGACCACCAGGAGATCCCAGCGCTGCCTCTTTTCTTCAGGCACTGACTAAGTCGTGCGTCTGGCGGTTCCAGGATGATAAAATGAGCGCATACAGGTGGTCCTCGGCTTACGACCACAGTGGAGCCCAAGATTTCTGTTGCTAAGCGAGACATTTGTGAAGTGAATTTTGCCCCATTTTACGACCTTGCTTGCCCCGGTTGTGGTGAATCGCTGCAGATGTTCAGTTAGTAGCGATCGTTAAGCGAATCTGGCTTCCCCATCGACTTTGCCTGACAAAAGATGGGATCCCATGAGGCCTGGGACACTGCAACCGTCATAAATATGAGTCAGTTGTCAAGCATCTGAATGTGAATCATGTGACCATGGGGATGCTGCAAAGGTCGTAAGCGTGAAAAACAGTTCTAAGTCACTTTTTTTTCCAGTGCCGTTGTAATTTCTAACGGTCACTAAATGAACTGTTGTAAGTCGAGGACTGCCTGTATTTGTCCACTATCTGGCCCGGAAAGGGTGAGATTTGAATAATAGAAAGATATGGGGACAGGTAGCGATTAAATGTTCAAAGTCAAATTATGTTTAATCATGTATCTAAGTGATAGTTGGTATAGAGGGCAGTTTGACAAAACATTTCCAGCTGCTTTGATATCTATTTTGATAGACATGCCTGAGCATTTCTGGGAAGGGTTATTAACATTCGTAGGACTTTTGAGAATATTTTGAGCACTCGGAGTTTGCTAGTGTCAACATCCTTCTATGAGGATCAAGAAAAATATGATTGATGGCACACCAGACTTTCTTCTCCATTGTCTCTCAGAAGTTTGCCCAGACCCATGTTCATTGTGTCAGTGACCCTATCTAACCATCTCCTCCTCTGCCATCCCCTTCTCCTTTTGCCT